CCTCCTCGTCCTCCTGCTCAGACTTTAGCTACGTGGCTGAAGCGTTCCTCGTCCTCCTGCTCCTCCTCCTCCTCCTACTCCTCCTCCTCCGCCTCCTCCTCCTCCTCCTCCTCCCTCCTCCTCCTCCTCCTCCTTTTCGGCGTTGTTCAGACTTTAGCTACGTGGCTGAAGCGTTCCTCCCCCTCCTCATGGGGCAAAACGATGGGTCTTGCTGGAATCGGCATGCACGTGCCTACTGCTCTCGATCGAACAGCCACATTGGGCCAGTCAGCCAGGGCGCAGCGGCACGAAGGTGCGCGCGCGCTCGTGCGCGCGTCTCGAGCCGTTCCCGCTTCTTATGTGCGCGTGTGCGCGTGCGAGTGCTCGATCATCCTTGACGGGTGCACAGATCCCATCGGCAAGCGGGACTGGGGATCGGAGGCGGGAGACAGGTAGAGGGGGTCTTCCATAAATGCAAGAGCGCCTGCGTACGCGTGCTCTTCATCTGCCTCTGGTGGTTCGCTGGGCCTGGAGTGGCCGTCGGATCGAAGCACAAAGCTGTGAGAAGGCTGCTCGACTTGTGTGGGGGGTCTCAAAACGCCCCATCTCTGGATCAGCTCCCTGCCTACGACGGGCATCGGCTGACTGCACAAAGTCTGGGGCCAACCTGTTGTGACTCATACAATGAGGTGACACTTGTTGGTAGTGACATACATGCGAATGACCATACCATAACGAGCAGATTTGGGGTCCAGCGTCATGCTGTCAACATTATTGCATCCGTAGCCAAAGCGACCGAACACGATGGACGACGACGAGGACGACGACGACGGCCGTCGGACCGACTCGGGACGACGACCGACGAACGACGATTAACGACAGCGACGAACCCCGGCGACGGCCGACTAACAGCGACGACGTCTGGGGGGGTGAGTTGGAGTCCGTGGCGCTGGGGAGGGTTCAGTCGGGAACACACTCTGGTGCATTCGGGGGTTCATCCAGGTTCATTCGGGTTCATTCTGCCCCAACGGGTGGATTCCCCCTTCCAAATTATCCCAGCGCGACCCTACTTAGGAGTTGGAGCCCCTAGGAAAGCAACATTAGCAGCAGCAATAGTGGATGCTTTGCTGCGCTATGCTATGCTATGCTATGCTATGCTATGCTATGCTATGCTATGCTGCGCAATGCTATGCTGGGCTAGGCTAGACTAGGCTAGGCTAGGGTATGCTATGCTATGCTATGCTATGCTATGCTATGCTATGCTATGCTCCGCTGCGCTGTGCTATGATCAGCAATGTTATGCTATGCTATGCTATGCTGCGCTATGCTATGCTACGCTATGCTGAGCTATGCTATGCTATGTTATGCTATGAATGGCTATGCCATGCTGTGCTATGCTGTGCTAATGCTGCGCTGCGCTATGCTGCGCTGCGCTAAGCTAAGCTAAGGGAAGCCAAACTATGCCAAATTAAGCTAAGCTAAGCTCAGCTAAGCTAGGCTAGGCTAAGCTACGCTAAGCTCAGCTAAGCTAAGCCAAGCTAAGCCAAGCTAAGCTAAGCTAAGCTAAGATGAGGTAAGCTAAGCTAAGCTAAGCTAAGCCAAGCTAAGCTAAGCTAAACTAAGCTAAACCAAGCTAGGCTAGGCAAAGCTAAGCTAAGCTAAGCTAAGCTGAGCTAAGTTCAGCTAAGATGAGATAAGTTAAGCTAAGCTAAGTTAAGATTAGCTTAGCTTAGCTAAGCTGGGTGAACCCAGGGGGCGCAACTGGGGGAACCGCGGGGCGGATGCCGGGGGAACCGCCCGGGGCGAGGAGCACTGCCCGGCCCTTTAAGCATACCGAGTAAGAACCCTTCTAGGCAGAGCCTAGGTTGGGAAAAAAAATAAACTCTACCCCCCCCCGGCGTTATCGGTCTCCCTTTCAGGTATGTAAATCATATATGATTCTGACCACATGTCCATCCTGAATGTGAATTTACACTATCCCCGGGGGGCCGGGTTCCCCCCCCCCTGAGGTTCCCTTGTAAAAAACACTGTGCGGTGACATTTTCTGTTCGAACATAACACTTGTTTCACGAATCCCTTGCAAACAATGGGAGGAAGTGCACACGCGGCGCGCATCGTCGCGCGTGCATGCCGAAATCCTTCAAAAACCTTCGGTGCCGGAAGGATTTCGCAATAGAGTTTCCAACAAACATACAAAAACACAGGGCTTCTCTTGCGAAATCTAAAGAAAACCATTGGTTTTTCAAGATTTTCATAACATGCTACCAAACGGGCGTCGCGCGCGCGCATGTCGAAATCTGTCGAACGCCCTTGCGCGTGTGCCGTCGCGAGAATCCTTTGTAACAAATGGGACGAAGTGCAGACGCGCACGTCGTCGCGCGCGTACGCCGAAATCCTTCAAAACCCATCGGTTTCGGAAGCATTTCAAAATCGCGCGTCCAAAAAACCCTACAAAAACACAAGGTTTCGCAACACGGATTTTCAACAAAAGCGTGCGCGCGCACTCTTGCGGTGTCGTCGTCTTCGTCGTCGTCGCCGTCCTCCCTCCTCCCGCGTCGTCGTCGTCGCCGCCTACGTCGTCCTGTGGCGTTCCTCGTGTTCGTCGTCGTCGTCGTCGTCCTCTTTGGCGTCGTGGTCGTTTCCGTCGTCGTTGTCGCCGTGGTCGTCCTTCCTCCTCCTCCCCCGTCGTCGTCGTCGTCGGCGTCTCGTCGTCGTCCCTCCTATTTCGTCGCCATCGTCGTCGTCGTTGTCGTCGTCGTCTCGTCGTCGTCTTCCCTCCTCCCTCGTCGTTGTCGTTGTCGGCGTCGCCGTCCTTCCTCCTTCTCCGTCGTTCGCGTCGTCGCCGTCATCCCTCCTCCCTCGTTGTCGTCGTTGTCGTCGTTGTCGTCGTTGTCGCCGTCGTCGTCGTCCCTCCTCCCTCGTCGTCGTCTTCGTTGGCGACGTCGTCGTCGTCTTCGTCGTCGTCGTCGTCGGCGTCGGCGTCGTCGTCTTCGTCGTCGTCGACGTCGGCGTCGTCGTCGTCGCCGCCGTCGTCGTCGTCGTCGTCGTCGTCGTCGTCGTCGTCGTCGTCGGCCGTCTTGCCTTGCTTCTCCGGCCTTCTTGGGGCGCTCTTGAGACGCCCCCGAGGGCTCCATGACGACCCGGAGCGATATCTGTGCTCGGTCCCGCATGGGTTTTGCAAACCAAGTTGCGGGTGGGTGGGTGGGATGATTGCGCGAGCAGTGGAGTTGACAACTTCAAGTTCGGCAAGTGATTGTCTCAAACCATAGGTTTTCGCAGGGTTCGGAGCCCGAGGTGGCACATTCGCCTGCAATCGCGCCTCCATGATAGATTACTACGGGAGCCCCCGTCTCCGATGGGGAGGTGGAGAGGGGGGGGGGCGCGTCCTCGAAGCGCTCCCTTCTAGAACTCTACCCCGCCCGCGCGTTCTAAAAATTGGCCTCGGCCGGTGGCGGTCGGCCTTCTAGACTTGGCCTTCTAGAATCTTACGACGGCGTCTGTCTCGTCGTCGTCTTTCTTCGGTCGGTCTGTCGTCGTCCGTCAGTCGTCGCCGTCCGTCGTCCTCGTCGTTCGGTCGTCATTGGTCGGTCGGTCGGTCGGTCAGTTGGTGGTCGTTGCGGTCATCGCTGTCTGTCGCTCGTCGCCATCGGTCGACGTCGTCGTCGTCGATGGTCGCCAATCGGCCGGTGGTCGTCGTCGTCGTCGATCGCTCGGTCGCTCGATCGGTCGTCGTCGGTCGCTCGGTCGCTTGGCCGCTGGGTCCCTCGGTTTCTGTCATTCGGTCGGTCGGTCGGTCGGTCGTCGTGGCCGTCGTCGTCATTCGTCTGTCGTCGCCGTCGGTCGCTGTCTGGTTGTTCGGTCGGTCGGCTGGGCGGACTTAACGGCTGTCGCGTGGGCAGCTAGAGCGAGCCGCGCCTCCACCACGGTATACACGAACGATGGCCACTAGACGGACACACCGCATCCAAGTCTCACTAGCAGATTAGTCACTGACTGTAGGTAAGGGTCCCGCTCCACATGAAACGCAGCAAGAGACTTTCGAAGCTCACCCTCCCTCTCATGAGTGTTTACAGACACACAGTATACATAGGTGATATAGCATCCACGATACGGTCAGCAAGCACACCACACAAAGCAGGGGGGTGTGTAGTCTTCTTTGCTGTGCGCCACTCGTCACGTGCACGATCGGACCCACTGAGGACCTGGTGACCGCCCCGTCCGTGTGATCACCTACCACGCCGTGGTGGTTCCATCAGCCTGCCGTGTGGTGTGCCCACTCGTGCTGCCAACATTCGTGTTGGTGCCCGTGCAACTTGCCCGTGTTCGCACGGATCAAATTCGGAGACGAGGAGGAGCAGGAGGAGGAGGAGAAGGAGGAGGAGGAGGAGGAGGAGGGAGGAGGGAGGAGGAGGAGGAGGAGGAGGAGGAGGAGGAGGAGGAGAGGAGGAGGAGGAGGAGGAGGAGGAGGACGCCGCTGGTGACGCTTATACTGCCCCGAGTGGCCCCTCACACAGCATTGAGCGCACGGCTGCCAGTCTCCAGCTCGCGGGCACTGGGCGCTCCCTCGAGCACCGTGTGTCGGCCTCTATATCGGCCTCTCAGTGAACCCCAAGAAGTTCTACCATGGCACCAGTCATCGATTAACAACTCGGAACCATCTGCCGTGGTGTAACCGCAGGCTTCCCCGAACACCCGGCATGTGGCCTGAGTCACTCCCTCTCTTTCCTTCTCCGCCACTCCGAGCGGCGGAGAAGGAACGGGAGGGAGGGAGTGAGGGAGGAAAGGGGAAAGGGAGGGAGGGAGGGTCCGACGGCCCCTCGCGCGCAGGCCAGAGAGGGAGGGCGACTGGCCCACGCAGTCAGCCGCCCCATCTAGGGGGGAGGAGGAGAGGGAGGAGGAGGAGGAAGAGGGGACGAGGAAGGAGGAAGGGGGGGGAGAGGAGGAGAGGAAGAGGAGGAGCAGCAGCATCCGGAGGGGCAGCAGGGAGGGGAGGCGGATCGGGGCCCTGGCCCTGCCGCAGG